CCGTAAGGGTTGGGAGGTGCGGGAGGGCCCTGCTGGCCTGGTGCCCGGGGTATGTTTGTCCCTGGGTGGTCCTGAGCCTTCCTCGGCTCCTCCCAGAGCAGTCAGCAGTCCTCAGGCCCCCTTGGTCTTTCAGGAGGATGTGTTGTTCTCCTTGTTTCGTTGCAGCAGTTAATAAAGTTAAACGATCCACTCTCAGAAATCTGAAACTCTTCTCCATCTGTGTACACTAGTGTATAAACTGAAAGCAGATAATTTCACCCATCTTCTGTCACACGGTGCTGTGACAGTATGGGATCATGCTAGGTGTTAGCCTGGAACAGGAGCTCTTTGCTTGGAGAAAGCTGTTGCTTCAAGAGATGTTAAGCACCCATATTATCAAATTTGCTGGGAACTGAAGGTATTTTGTATTTTTGGAGTCAGTCTGTCCACTTTTGGTCTCGGGCTGCTAAGCCCTATTGAGAATTGCAGATGTTTAGTTTGTAATAAAGTAATATGTTCATGTATCAGCTTGTCATTCATTTTGGGATTGTACTATATCAAAGGTATGTTACAAAAGCATATCCTCAGTAGTATTTCCCTGCAGAAACTCCTAGTAATCTAGTTTTTCACAGACTTGACATTTAAGTCTTTGATTTGTGAGTTAATAGCAAAAGACTAATTCTTCCTGAGGCCAGAATAGTGCTTCTTGATCCTTGTATTCTGGTTTTCATTCACTTGTTTTAATGAAGAAAGGTCAAGTGAATCACTTTAATGACTACACAACTATGTGTGCACATTTCAGTTATTAATAGGTTCTTAATGCTTTAAAGCTTCCTGCAGATTTTTCTCATAATTATATTTAATATTAATATAACACTTTGCCTTCCAAGTAACCCTACTGCCTTTTTTGTTTCAACTTGAGGAAGAAAATGTCTTTTGCTAAGACAGCTAAATCGAACAGCCCGTGTTGATGATTGCACACAAGCACCTGCCTGGCAGTCACGATTGCTTTTCATTGTGTGACAATGGCAGCTCCTCTCCAAGGAGGCCCATTTGTGCTGAGTGGCCTTGTGGCTTTATAGTAAGGATTTGTTTCCTCTAAAACTGGCTGAGCATCAAATGGGAAAAAGGATTAGGGGACAGATTTGGTGTCTCTGGGGGTCCCTTCCAGTTACATCTTTCATAATGCTGTGGGTGCAGTTCCTTCAGAACTGGGAACTGTATGTACTGATAGCTGCTGTACTGCTGCTGAGCTGGAATAAGAGATCGGGGAAGAGCTGTCTGGACCTTTCTCTTTTCTCTCTGTCTTTGCCCTACCACTCTCACCTGAGTAGTTCATGTTATTTTTTACAACAGGGACAATGTGGAGTGGTCAGAAGAGCAGGAAGCCAGTGCCAGGAGTAGAGTTCAAGAGAACAGCTCGCAGCTGTTGCCACAAGATAAACAAGGTACTTTTGGCTGCTGTTATAATGCTGAGTCTTGTTCGTACAAGAGCAGAACAGTCTGGCCGGAGCTGCATATGCACCATCATTTATTCCTCCCTTCCCTGCATCTTCCAAATCACTTAAAATACATTACCTAGTGGTTGATAATGAAAAATGAAGGAGGAGGAGGAATCTTTCTGTTCTTAATTTACCTCTTTGTGACTTTTCCACCTTCTCCAGAGAGTCATCCTACTGGAACGGGAATTATCTTGCCTCAGAAGAGTCATCTTGGCTTGAACTTCTTTGTTCCTGTTGTGTATGTTTAAATACTTGTTAGTGTTCCTTCTCAACAAACTTTTCAGTGTAGAGCAACAGCCTCATTGAGTCTTATTTTCTCTACTTGCTTTTGCTCTCTAAAGCTTCACTTCTAACAGGCAGTCTTTTGTTTGCTCGTGTGCTGTGGAGCTATCCCTAATGCAAGCTTGGTTTTTCTCTTAAGAGGGGTCTCATAAAGTAGTGTCCACATTCATCTCTACTGGGTTAACAAACAGCATGATAAAGATTAAATTGGAAGCAAAGAAAAATGGTTTTATCCTGATTGACGTGTTTGTCATCAGAGAGGCAGAAAAGGGATTCTGAAGTTTTTTATTTCCTCAAACTTGGCTTAAAGGATATTTTTACATCCAAAATGCAAAGCTTACCTGAATCTGAGTCAAGCTAAAGGTGCACAGCTCTACAGTCAAGTTGAAGCTGTTGTGAGTTGGTTAATAATGCATCTTTCCTCTGCACCTCTTAGGTATCATCCGATGCCTTAAATGATGGTGAAATGGATTCCTGTTCTTTGGTATGATAAGAGACTTTTTTGATGATGATCTTGTTATATCCTGCCAAGTTCTAGGATGGATCTGCTTCTTTTGTTCAAATTAAATTGAGTGTGTCATCTGTAAGACGATGCTGAACACTATTGGAGCTATTGAGACACTTCCCATATAGCTTCCAGTTGTGTTCACAATAGCAAATTTAATTATGCCAAAGAGCAACCCTCCTAATTTTCTGGATTTCCAGAAGTATCCAGCAGCCCCTATTGTGATACCCATTGTGTTGAGTTCATTTTAAAATCTGGTTAACATTAAAGGATGCTGTCTGTCATGCTTTGAGAACCTATATACAGCTATGAAAATGTGGAGCAATTTACTGTTCGAGCAGTTTGTCAGGTCTTCATGATGTATTTCCCAGACCGAACAATGGAGGCCAGTCAGATTTTGATGGCTGCTATTCAGTGGGAAGCGTGTGGAGACAATGGGATGGCTGAAACACAGGGAAGCCAGCCCAGCCAAATGTGCCTGAAGCGGCTAGTATTTTGAGAATCAGTAATGTCCAAGCGGGAGAACAAAGGCAAGCTCTTGGTCATTATGGCTGTATTATTCTGCGGACTTCTTGGGGCTGTCAGAATTTGTTCTGAAGAAGGAGAGAAGTTCTATGGGCTATGTCGAAGATGTGTCTCCTGGCTGGGAACAAAGAAAGAAGTGGAAGAGTTTCTGGGTTTCTTTTTGAAGCTTAGCCCCCATGCAATTCAGGGGGTCCCTGGTTCTCTTCCTGTATTTTGTGAACAGTTATTTTATTTGCACTTCTTCTGCAATGTGAAAGGGTGAGTATGGGCTTGGCTTTGGGGGTGTCCTCACAAAGATGAGCAGAAAGGTCAGGAGAGTCCTTATCAAGAAAGTCTCTGGAGGAATCTGGCTCATGTGCCGATGTCCCCACAAACCAGATCTTGAAGCAAGTATTATGTGAACTTTTCTGGCTTAAGTTGTGCAGCAAGTCAGACTGAAAAATTAATATGATCATTTTTTGCTTTAAATCTGTTTCTTGCATTATCTCTGTCAGCTGGCCCTTGATATTTTGCATTTATCTTGTTACTGATCCTTTATTCCAGTGCTTTGAAAACACCAGGTTATGAGGCAAATGAGCTTTAAATAAAGCTTCCACACATGTGGGTTGGAGCATAACAGTTGTTCTATAGCATCCACCAGAATTGCACATGAATTGAACACAGGAGGAGCACAATGTCTTGTTCAGTGTTAAACTGTGGCAAAAAATGTGGGTAGTCCAAAATGCCTGGGTTGAAATATTGCACAGCACCTCGGGTAAGCATCCCATTACAGTCAGGCTGCCGTGGGATTGACAGGGACCATCAGGAATCAGGACTTTCTATTTTTTTAGCTAAAAAAGCATTTCCAGCCCCAGCAGCCTTGCATATCCCTGTGAAGTGACAATTCAGGAAGGAGTGCACCAGGGACTGAATCAGTGACACTTCTGACATGGGCATTAGTTGAGCTCTCCTTTGTAAATAGTAAACTGGCTTGGCCCTGCTTACTCTGAGCTACGGTGAGATCATGGCACAAACTTACTGCTCTAGTCTAATATCAGACATGAAAACTTCTTTTTGGCTTGAGGTTTAAGGACAAAGCTTCTTAAAAGGAGAAAATCTTCATAGTTGAAGTGAGGAAATTATTTTTATATATAGCTTTGTGCTTCAGGGATAGATCCTACTAAAAATATACATATGACTGACTTCTAGTTCTTTGTTAAAGCCATTTTTGTCTATATTTGGGTGAGGCTACATACTTTTCCAGATTTTCTTTGTTCATTTTACTCTGTCCCTTCAGATTTCTTCTAAACACTTGTATGCTTTTCAGAAAGACCAATAAATAAGCTGCAGTTCAGATAATAATACTCATCTCCAATTTTAAGGTACCTGCTTTTTCTCTTACCCCTGCTCTTATTGGAGGGAGGTTATCTGTTCTCACATACAGTCATCATCTTTAATTGTGGGAGAATCATTTGCATTCAGTAATGCACTTGTTGCTGTGCGAAGATGGCTAAGGAGTTGCACGTTATTGAAATGCAGTTGGGATCTCTGGCCATGGATGTTAAACCCTCTCGGTGATTACAAGTGTAGGATGCTATCATTAGCTCTTCTTTCCCAGGACAGAGAACTTTGCACATTTATGAGAATTCACGAAGCCAGTTGGATTCATAAATTCCCATGGAAAAAATATGTTTATCCCCCCTTTGTTTTAATTTCATAAATCCGTGATGCTCACTTGCACAGAACCGTGGAAAACAAAGTGCTGTAGACTGGACTCCAGCAAGACTTGTGTAAAACATGCTGTCCTGTAATCTTGGAGTGTTGCGCAAAACCTCATTGAGCTTTCTGCCAGGCCTGTATAGCTGACTAATTTTTCGGTTTCTCCGTCTGAAAAAGCGGTAGCGTGTTGGACAGAAGCTCTTCAGCTCCAGGCAGCTGTCATAGAATTCCTTAGAAGTTGTAAATGCTTCACACTTGGTGTTGTGAGGCTCCGAGTGAATCGTTCCAGTGAACTGAACAAGTTAGTGTTAGAAGTAAAACCTGGATTTCTTCATTCCAGCCTCCTTCAAAGAGGCCTTTTCTGTTGCCAGCTTCCTTTAAATCCTACCAGGAGACAGACAGTTTCCTCCTCTACCTCTTTTCCCATTCTTGGTTCTGACAAAGTGGCTGTGAGGAGGCAGGCTGAGCGCTCCTGTGGGATGGCACGATTTAAATAAATGTGATTTTTCGATCAATGACCTTATTTATTAAGGCATATTGCTGCATAGGTATCTGCAGTGATCCCTGACTGTCTGAGCTGATTAAACCCTGACACCTTCGGATTTGACCACTGGTGACGTTTTTGTTTGTGTTTACAGAGGAATATGAGGTGAATGCTAAGAGGTACTGGGATGACTTTTATAAAATCCATGAAAATGGCTTCTTCAAGGACAGGCACTGGCTGTTCACTGAATTTCCTGAGCTGGCACCTAACAGGAACCCAAGTCAAAACGGGGATTCTGTGCATGAATTTAGTAACAAAGAAGAATGCAACAATGAAGGGCTGGGAAGCTGTGAAAATGGACATTGTTCGTTGGAAACCGGGGCGGAAAATCAGTTAAACTTGATGAAAAGCACACCTAAGGTCTGCATAGAGGAGATGGCTACGCAGCAGTGTAGTGAGCTGAATCAAAGTCGTGGAGATTACCCAGGATCGTCTGCATCTTACCGAATATTAGAGGTAATAGCTGTAAAACAGTGTCACACACCAAACAATCCCTTGTATCGGTGTTAATGTGACTGGGTCACAAAGTATATGTCATTGGCAAACAGCAAGTGAATGGGGTGATTGCCTTAAATCAGTAAAATGCAAAAAAACCAGAGGGCAGCTTATCACTGAATTAAATCTGTTGGGATTCTTTTGGTTCAGACCATGAATTGGCAGAGCACAAGGACCACAAGAAGTTTCTGAGTTTAAAAGACAAACTATTACTATGAGATGTTGAAACAAGCATTTAAAAGTTGTCTTTTGAAGAAGCTGATTCTTTTGCTTGTCGGTATAAGGCTTTTCCTTGTCATCTGTTTTGCATGTTTGTGCTGACTCCTGTTTGCCTTGGGAGGTGTGAAACAAAAACAATGAAACCAAGAATGTAAAGATACTGTTTGGTTTGTTCCTTATGGCCCATGTCATAACGGGAAATCTCAGACTAATACAGAGTTTGTCCCAGAGAAGTCTGTAGGAAATCTAAATATGAGACTCCTGACAGCTGGTAATGACCACCTGCTCGGCCACCTCGGGTTTGTTCACTGCAGGTATCACTGGTTTTCTTGAATCTCCATGTTCTATGGAAGTTCCGCCCTTCCAGGGAGAGTCAATATGAGCTGTCCTTTCGATTTTTTTTAATTTAATCTGAGGTTTTGAGACTTCCTCAGACTTTAATATTCTGGGGTCATCGTGGCTTTCCTGTCTCCTGAGTATTTTTAGTGCTGTCACTGCAAGCCAGCAGTGGTGTTTTCTGCTCAGTCTGTTTCAATTTTACCGATTCCTTAAACATTCAGAGGCAAAATCCCCAAACCCAATTGTGTGAGCCATCTTCTCTTCAGCAACAAGCAGAAGGAATAATAAGGCAGAATCACTGTAGGCCTGGCTGTAACTTGAGGAGGAGCCATCTAGTGAAGGAAACTCTGAAACAGCAGGATGTAATTATAGTAAAGCAAACTTCTTTCTCCATTGCTCTGATTTTCTATGGAATAACTAATCCGTGGCCTTTGCCAGTGCTTCAGTGACTCATACTGGTTGTTATGCTTGGGATTCCAGCAATAAGAGTTTTCAAAAGCGTTAGAATATATAGCTTGTTAGTAAGATTTCTACGAGAACTTGGCTTAGTGGTTTCCCACAAATGCTTCTATGTAAGCCTGCTCCTCGGAGCTGAACACGTTCAAATCCTGCAGTGAGATTTGCAAATGGTCACTGCTCTGCTTAGTTGTTAACTCATGAGTTGCTTTTTATTCCACAGTTGTAGAGAGATGATTCAAAATGAGCTGCATGGGACATGCTGAAGAAATTATTTTCACTCTTTGTACATCTGCTTTGTTTGTGCAGGTTGGCTGTGGTGCTGGAAATACAGTCTTCCCAATTTTACAAACCAACAAGTAAGCAGTTCTCAGGACGTTTTTACCTGCATGATGTACTCCCCTCTGAAAAACCCCTGGAAAAGTTGTGTGTGTGTTCTTAGTGTAGACAGTCTGTGAGAAAGGCCAGATGCGAGTGATATATTTGCCATCTGCAACTTCAAATGGTTGTGTTTTGAGCTTGGAAATCTTTGGTCTTAGAAAGCAACCAGCGAAACATGATGCAAGTTTACATGTCTCATTCTGAAAGCATTTTCATACAGGCTGTAGTGTCTCTCCTTTTCTGGAAGGAAAAGTAAACAGTCAGCTCCGTATGAGAATAACAGAGGTGTAAAGGAGCAACGTGATCCAACAGATTCTGCACAAGGCATTATTGACAGAGATGGACTAAAGCCCAGGATTTCTGGCTCCCGATTCTGTGCATTCGAGACATGTCTGTAATTCCTGTGGAGCACCTTGATGTAAATGATGATAGTTTCTTTTATTTATTTCAGTGACCCAGGCCTTTTTGTTTATTGCTGTGATTTTTCTACAACAGCTGTGGATCTCGTCCAGGTAAACTCAAGGGTGACTTCTGAAGATAGGAAGTACATGGTGCCAGTTGCACAGTAACACAAATATATCACGGCTGCCACCGGCTGTCTGGCTGTGCAGGCAGCTTTCTGTTTTTAGCTAGCCCTGATGCTGACCCTTGTACTGGTAAATCAGGAAAATGAGCCGTCAAAGATTGTAGAAATGAGGGAAGTTGGAGTTCTCAAAATGTCACATTGGCAGCAGACGAGTCAGCCAGATTTTCTTTCCCCTGTGGTTGGCAGTGCTTTTCTAAATCCAGTGCTCTTTTAGCTGAGTAACTGCTGAAAC